GGGGGGGGCGGCGGGAATCCCCCCCCCGGGACCCCCCTCTTGAGCAGCACCCACTGGGACCCCCCCCCCTCCTCTCCCGGGTGACCAAACGCAGCCCCGGCGGCTCTTGGTGGGGAGGGGGGGTCCCGGGAGCCCCCCCGGACCCCCGTGGGTGCCCCCAGGTGCCCCCCCCCCTCCTCCTCCGCCCTGGGGGTACCTGTATGCAAACCTTCCCCCGCCCCCCCCCCAAAAAACCCGCACGCGTGGGGACCCCCGGCACGTGCGGGGGGCGTGGGGACCGTGACGGGGAGACCGCGCCCCCCCCCCCCCCAGAATTCTGCGGCTCCCCCCCCCCCCCCCACGCGTGTGTGTGTGTGTCCGCCCCCCCCACCCCAAAATGCGCACTTGGGACTTGGTGTGTGCGCCCCAAAATTCGTGTGCCCCCCCCCCCCCCAACCCGTGCGTGCCCGGCCCGCCCCCCCCGCGGTGCCTTCGGCCGGGCCGGGGGGGCCCCGCGCACGCCCCCCCCCGACATCTCTGCACAGATGACACGAGACCCGCAGCCCCCCCCCCCAAATAAAACCCCCCGCCCCCCGTGGGGATGGGGGGGGTGGTGGGGGCCAAAAAAGGGGGGGGGGCCCCCCGGATGCCTGGGGACCTCCCCGTGTGTCCCTCCCGTGGCCTCTGCCCCCCCCCCCCCCCCTCAAAAAAAAACTCGACCCGGGGGTCCCTATCTGGCTGGTCTGGATAACCCTGGGGGGGCGCCCCAGCCCCCCCGCCCATTTCCCTCCCACCCCCATTCCCCCCCCCCCACCCCAAAAAAAGCCTCAGCTCCTCCCCGTGTGCCCCCCCCCTCCCCAAAATGCCGCCCCCCCCCACCAGCCGCCCCCCCCCGGCCCCCGCAGTGTTTAACACGAGTTTTTACATTAAAAACCTGTGCCCCCCCCGGGGCAGAAACACGAGTGTCACTGGGGGGGGCGCGCCCTGTATTTTGGGTCTGGGGGGGGGGTCCCCTGTTTGGGGCTGGGGGGGGTCCCTATTTGGGGCTGGGGGGTCTCTGTTTGGGGCGGGGGGGTGCGCTCTGTATTTTGGGTCTGGGGGGGGTCCCTGTTTGGGGCTGGGGGTCGTCCCTGTTTGGGGCTGGGGGGGTCTCTGTTTGGGGTCTGGGGGGTGCGCTCTGTATTTTGGGGCTGGGGGTTTCATTTCTTGGGGGGTCCCGGCCCAATGCGAGCTCCCCCCCCCGAGGTTCTCCCCCCCCCCCCCGTCTGTTCCCGCATGTGGGCGGGTCAGGACTATGCTAATGAGGCAACAATCCCCGCCCCCCTGCGGTTGCCATGGTGACCGTCGCGGGCAGCTCAGCGGGACCACGACGGCATCATGAATATGCAAATAAGAGGCGGAGCCCACAAGAAAAAAAACCACACCGGCTAATTATGCCCTCATTTGCATATAGAACACCTTGGCCCCAGCCTGGCCTTGGGCAGGGGGGAGGAGCCAAGGCCGGGGGGGGGCCGGGGGTCACCTGTGACCCTTCCCACGGCAGGGGGAGGGGCTGCAGACCTTGAGACCCCCCCTCAACACACACCTGTGTCCCCCTCTGGGGACCCCCCTCACCTGTGTCCCTTCCCCACGCACCTGTGTCCCTTCCCCCCTCACCTGTGTCCCTTCCCCACACACCTGTGTCCCTTCCCCACGCACCTGTGTCCCCCCCTGGGGGACCCCCCGTCACCTGTGTCCCTTCCCCACACACCTGTGTCCCTTCCCACGGTGGGAAGGGGCTGCAGACCTTGGGACCCCCCCTCACACACCTGCGTCCCCTCCCAGGTGTGCCCCGCCCGCCGGCCTTGGGGCCGGGCTATAACCTGAGCCCCGCACGGCCCCCGGGAGGTGACATCGGGTGACACCAGGTGACATCGGGAGGTGGCGGCGATGCTGGCGCTGCTGGTGACGCTGGTGCTGGCCCTGCTGGGGGCGCGGGGGGCGGTCGCGCAGTGCCCCTCGCCCGCCGAGCTGCGCCCCTTGAACGGGACCCGGCTCTGCGCGCTGCTCTACGCCGACAACAGCCCCTACTACGAGCAGTGCTGCGCCGGGGACGTGCTCGAGGTGCTCCCGGGCGCCGACCTGCCCTACCTGCCCAGCGGCTGGGCCGGCCGCGCCTCCTCGCTCGTGGTGGGCACCAGGTGCGAGCTCACCGTGTGGTCCCGCCGCGCCAAGGAGGGGAAATCGCGGCGCTTCGGGGCGGGAGCGGGTGCCGCGGCTGCAGGAGGTGAGGAGGGGGCTCTTCGGGGACTGGAACGACGCCATCCGAGCCCTCTACTGCACCTGCAAGTGAGCCCGGGGGGGATTTGGGGCGATATGGGGCGGTGGGAGGTGAAACGGGGGGGGACGCGCGGCTGCAGGAGGTGAGGAGGGGGCTCTTTAGGGGCTGAATGATGCCATCTGAAACTGGAACGATGCCATCCGAGCCTTGTATTGCACCTGCAAGTGAGCACGGGGGGACGGGGGGATATGGGGTGGTGGGAGGTGAGAGGGGGCTCTTCGGAGCCATCCATGCCTTGCACTGCACCTGCAAATGAGGGTGGGGGGACACGGGGGGCACACGGGCCAGAATGGGCCATCGTGGGTCACCATGAGCCAATGTGGGCCAGGATGGGCCAGCGTGGGTCAGGATGGGCCAGCGTGGGTCAGAATGTGCCAGCGTGGGTCACCGCGACCTGGCACGGGTCAGGATGGGCCAACATGGATCAGGATGTGCCAGCGTGGGTCAGGATGTGCCAGCGTGGGTCAGGATGGGCCAGCGTGGGTCAGGATGGGCCAATGTGGGTCAGAATGTGCCAGCGTGGGTCAGGATGTGCCAGCGTGGGTCAGGATGTGCCAGTGTGGGCCAGGATGGGCCAGTGTGGGCCAGGATGGGCCAGCGTGGGTCAGGATGTGCCAGCACGGGTCAGGATGGGCCAGTGTGGGTCAGGATGTGCCAGCGTGGGTCAGGATGGGCCAGTGTGGGCCAGGATGGGCCAGCGTGGGCCAGGATGTGCCAGCGTGGGTCAGGATGGGCCAGTGTGGGTCAGGATGTGCCAGCCTGGGTCAGAATGTGCCAATGTGGGTCAGGATGGGCCAGCGTGGGTCAGAATGTGCCAGTGTGGGTCAGGATGTGCCAGCGCGGGTCACCGTGTGCCAACGCGAGTCAGCGCGGGTCAGCCTGAGTCAATGAGGGCCAAACCAGCCCCAAGCTGGCCCAGATGAGCTGACACAAGCCAAGCCAAGCCAAGCCAAGCCAAGCAAAGCCAAGGCGATCCAGCAGTGGCCAAGATTCACCATCAGGGGCCGAGCTGAGCCAGGCCAAGCCAAGCCAAGCCAAGCCAAGCCAGGCCAAGCCGGCCAAGATTCACCATCAGGGACTGACCCAAGCCAAGCCAAGCCAAGCCGAGTCAACATGAGCTGGCACTGGCCTCAATTCACCATCAAGGACCAACCCGAGCCGAGCCGAGCCGAGCCACTGCGGGACCCCATGTGCCCCCCCTGCCCCCCTGCAGCCAATAAAGCCCTGAGGCAGCAGCAGCTCCTGCCTGGGGGTCCTTTATTGGGGAGGGGGCGTCCCCATGCCCCCTGCCCACGTCAGGAGCGTTGTTTATTGGGGAGGGGGTGTTCCCACGCCCCCCACCCATGTCAGGAGCGTTGTTTATTGGGAAGGGGGCGTCCCCACGCCCCCCGCCCACGTCAGGAGCGTTGTTTATTGGGGAGGGGGTGTCCCCACGCCCCCTGCCCCTGTCAGGAGCGTTGTTTATTGGGAAGGGGGTGTCCCCATGCCCCCTGCCCACGTCAGGAGCGTTGTTTATTGAGGAGGGGGGCGTCCCCACGCCCCCTGCCCCCATCAGGAGTGTTGTTTATTGGGGAGGGGGTGTCCCCACGCCCCCTGCCCACATCAGGAGTGTTGTTTATTGGGGAGGGGGTGTCCCCATGCCCCCTGCCCCTGTCAGGATGTTGTTTATTGGGGAGGGGGCGTCCCCACACCCCCTGCCCACGTCAGGAGCGTTGTTTATTGGGGAGGGGGTGTCTCCACGCCCCCCACACGTACCCCCCACCCCCAAAAGAAGCACAGACAGCACGCGGGGGGGTCCAAAAGGACATGTGTAATTTTGGGGGGGCCCCGTGTCCCCCCAGGGCCCCCCCCTCCCGCGCGGGTACAAAACCCGACCATATAAATATCAATTTTTTGTTAAAAAACAAAAAAAAAAACAAAACCGAGGGGGGCACGGGGGGGGGGAAGGAACCAACCAAACAAAAAAAACCCCAAAATCAACAAAAACTGGGGGGGGGGGGACACACCCCGAATCAGTAGTGTGGTGTGGGGGGGGAGGCTGTAGTTTTGGGGACCCCCCCCTCACGGAGATGGGGGGGGGGGCCGTACCCCAAGTGCCCCCCGAATTGGGTAGAAAAGAAGAGGCTAAAAACAAAACAAAAAAAAAAGGGGGAAATGCCCCAAAATGGGTCCCAAAGGCGGGGGGGGGAGCGGGAGGAGCCCGTGCACCCCCAAATCTCAGGGATGGCGGCCTCCCCCTCCCCCCAAAATCTCTGCTGGGGGGTCCCCAGCTCAGTAGTACAGGTTGGGGGGGCCGGGGTCCCCCAGAACATCCCAGTCCCGCTCCAGTTTGGGGGGGCTGCTGAGGAGGAGGAGGAGGAGGAGGGGGCCAGGAGTCGCCCCCTGGGGTAGGGGGGGTCTCCCCTGCGGTGGGAGGGGTCTCCCCACCAGTCTGGGGGTCTCTGTCCCAGTCTGGGGGTGTCTCCCCCTGAGCAGGAGGGGGTCTCCCCCAGTCCGAGGGTCTCTCCCCCTGGGTGGGGGGTCTCCCCCAGCTTGGGGGTCTCTCCCCGGTCTGGGGGTCTCTTCCCCAGTCCAAGGGTCTCTCCCCCTGTCCGGGGGTCTCTCCCCGTTGCCGGGGGTCTCTCCCCATTGCCGGGGGTCTCTCCCCGTTGCCGGGGGTCCCTCCCCCAGGACAGAGGGGTCTCTCCCCCAGCTTGGGGGTCTCTCCCCCCGGTTTGGGGGTCTGGGGGTCTCTCCCCCAGTCCGAGGGTCCCTCCCCGGCGCGGGGGTCTCTCAGCGCAGCCGGTGCTGCCGCATGAGGGGCACGATGCAGGCGGGGGGCCCGGCCACGCCCAGGAAGGGGTGCCGGAGCAGCTCCGGGGCGCTCGCTCGCTGCGCCGGGTCCCGCACCAGCATCCGCTCCAGGAACCCCTTCAGGGATGGGGACACCTGGGGGGGGAACGGGGGCGTGAGAGACTCCCAGGAATGGGGGGGGGACTCCCCCCAGCCCCACCCCGAGTTACCTTGTGGCCGTTCTTGAGCCGGGGGGGGAGGTTGTCCCGGATCAGCTTCATGGCTTTGAGGGGGGGCTCGTTGAAGTAGGGGGGTTCCCCGTCCACCATCTCGATGACCATCACCCCCAGGGACCAGATGTCCACCTGGGGACGGGGGGTGTTCACCCCAAAAATGACCAAAAATGAGGAGGGGGTTAGGGGGGCAGCCCCTCAAACCCACTCCGTGCCACTTGGAGCCCCTCAAACATACACTGGGTATCCCCAGACCCACCCTGGGCAATCCTAAACCCACCCTAAACCCACCCTGCTCTCCCCAAACCCACCCTGGGCACTCTTAAACCCATTCCAAACCCACCCTGGGCAATCCTAAACCCACCCTAAACCCACCCTGCTCTCCCCAAACCCACCCTGGGCACCCCCAAACCTATTCCAAACCCACCCTGCTCTCCCTAAACCCACCCTGGGCACCCCCAAACCCATTCCAAACCCATTCCAAACCCACCCTGCTCTCCCCAAACCCACCCTGGGCACTCCTAAACCCATCCTGGGTTTAAACCCACCCCTAAACCCATTCCAAACCCACCCTGTTCCCCCTAAACCCACCCTGGGCACCCCCAAACCCATTCCAAACCCATTCCAAACCCACCCTGGGCACCCCCAAACCCATCCCAACCTCCCCACAAGACACCTCGAGGTGGCAGAGAAGGCAGGAGATGAACCTGGGGGCCCGCACACCCACCCCAAGCCCCCTGAAGCCCACCCTAAACACCCCCTAACGCAGCCCAGGACCCCCCAACGCCCCCCTGAGCCCCCTGACCCACCTCTGGGCCGTAGGGCAGGCGGGAGATGAGCTCGGGGGCCATCCAGTAGGGGGTCCCCACCAGGGACTTGCGCCGCGGCACGTCCTTGTTCACTTGGGCACAGAACCCAAAATCCGAGAGTTTCACCTGCCGGGGGGGCGGGGGGCGTCAGGGCGGGACCCCACAGGGTCGGGGGGCGGTTTGGGGGGCCAAAAATCCCAGAGTTTCACCTGCCAGAGGGGCTGGGACCCCAAAGGGTCAGGGGGAGGTTTGGGGGGGCAAATCCCAGAGTTTCACCTGCCAGAGGGGCTGGGACCCCACAGGGTCGGGGGGAGGTTTGGGGGGCCAAATCCCAGAGTTTCACCTGCCAGCGGGGCTGGGATCCCAAAGGCTTGGGGGAGGTTTGGGGGGGCAAATCCCCGAGTTTCACCTGCCAGAGGGGCTGGGATCCCACAGGGTCGGGGGGAGGTTTGGGGGCCAAATCCCAGAGTTTCACCTGCCAGAGGGGCTGGGACCCCACAGGGTCAGGGGAGGTTTGGGGGGCCAAAGCCCAGAGTTTCACCTGCCAGAGGGACTGGGATCCCAAAATCCCAAAGGGTTGGGGGGAGGTTTGGGGGCCAAATCCCCAAGTTTCACCTGCCAGCAGGGCTGGGATCCCACAGGGTCGGGGGAGGTTTGGGGGGCCAAATCCAAGACTTTCACCTGCCAGAGGGGCTGGGACCCCAAAATCCCAAAGGGTTGGGGGGAGGTTTGGGGGCCAAATCCGAGAGTTTCACCTGCCAGCGGGGCTGGGATCCCAAAATCCCAAAGGGTTGGGGGGAGGTTTGGGGGCCAAATCCCAGAGTTTCACCTGCCAGAGGGGCTGGGATCACAAAGGGTTGGGGGGAGGTTTGGGGGGGCCTTTCTGGGGATCCCCCCCGGCCCCTTTTTGGAGGTTTTCTCCCCAATTTTCCCCCTAACCAGGCCACCTACCCGCCCGTCGTGTGTGAGGAGGATCGAGTCGCTCTTGATGTCGCGGTGGATGACGCCCTGGGCGTGGAGCACGGCGAGCGCGCGCAGCACCGAGCGGCACACGGCGGCGATCTGCTCCTCTGACATCCTGGGAGGGCGCATGGTCACCGGGCTGCCACCTCTGTCACCCCCCCCGGGCCCCCCCAGGTGTGCTCACCTGGTGTGGGTGACGATGTCGGTCAGGGCGCCGCCCTCCAGGAACTCCATCACCACCCAGAGCTCGTCGCCCACCAGGTAACTGTTGTACATCTGCACCACGTTCTCGTGCTGGTGGTCCCTCATGATCACCACCTGGGGACAGGGGGACGTCGGCATGGGGACCTGGCACCGTGCCCTGAGAGCCTTGGGGACCCCCTGACAGCCTTGGGGACCCCCTGAGAGCCTTGGGGACACAGGCATGGGGGGGGGAACATGGCCATGGGGGCCTGGCACTGTCCCTGAGAGCCTGGCACTGTCCCCTGAGAGCCTTGGGGACCCCCTGACAGCCTTGGGGACACGGCCATGGGGGCCTGGCACTGTCCCCGGGGGTCCTCAGGCCATCAGGAGCTCCCTGCTGGGTCACCAAGAGCTCTTGGAGGGGTCCCCGGGGCCTCCTGAGGGTCCCCAAGGCTCTCAAAGGGTCCCCAAGGCTCTCAGGGGCTCCCCAAGGCTCTCAAAGGGTCCCCAAGGCTCTCAAAGGCTCCCCAAGGCTCTCAGGGCTCCCCAAGGCTCTCAAAGGGTCCCCAAGGCTCTCAGGGCTCCCCAAGGCTCTCAGGGGCTCCCCAAGGCTCTCAGGGGCTCCCCAAGGCTCTCAAAGGGTCCCCAAGACTCTCAAAGGATCCCCAAGGCTCTCAAAGGGTCCCCAAGGCTCTCAGGGGCTCCCCAAGGCTCTCAGGGCTCCCCAAGGCTCTCAGGGGCTCCCCAAGGCTCTCAGGGCTCCCCAAGGCTCTCAGGGCTCCCCGGGGCTGCGCTCACCTCGTTGAAGAGCAGCTCCCTCCTCTGCTGCTTGCGCAGGTCCATCTTCTTGACGGCCACGAGCTGCCCGGAGCCGCGCACGGTGGCGATGCACACCACGCCCGTGGAGCCCTCGCCGATCTTGATGAAGTTGTCCAGGTAGGAGCGGGGGTCCCCGGGGTCCACCACCATCTGCAGCGCCGCCCGGAACTGCTCGTGGGACACGCGCTGGGGCACGGCGGGGCCAGGCCCGCGCGGGGCCGGGGGCTCCGGGGGCGCCGGGGGAGGAGGAGGAGGAGGAGGAGGCTCCGGGGCTTTGGGGGCTTGGGGGGCTCCTCCCGAGGTGGGGAGCGGCCCGTTGGGGGGCACCTCCTGAGGGCGTCCTGCGGGGTGATCGGCCTGTGGGGACACGGAGAGAAGCATCAGAGCCGGGGACTGCTGAGCGAGGAGGAGGAGGAGGAGGAGGAGGAGGAGGAGACTTGGGAAGGGCTGAGGGAGGAGGAGGAGGAGGAAGAGACTCAGGGGTCAGAGCCCAGGATTGCCGTGGGAATGAAGGGCTGAGGGAGGAGGAGGAAGAGGAGCAGAGAACCCGCTCTGGAAGAGGAAGCAGAGCAGCAGCAGCAAGAAGAAGAAGAGGAGCAGAGAACTCACTCTGAAAAAGGAGCAGAGAACCTGCTCTGGAAAAGGAAGGAGAGCAGCAAGAAGAAGAGGAGGAAGAGGAGCAGAGAACCCACTCCGGAAGAGGAAAAGGAGCAGAGAACCCGCTCTGGAAGAGGAAGAACAGGAGCAGAGAACCCGCTCTGGAAGAGGAAACAGAGCAGCAGCAAGAAGAAGAAGAAGCAGAAAAAGCAGAAGAAGCAGCAGAAGAAGAAACTGCTCCAGAGCGAAGGACGTGGCTGGGGAAGGAAGCTGCTGCTGATCCCAGTGGAAGCCGTGAGGAAGAGGAGCAGAGAACCTGCACTGGAAGAGGAAGCAAAGCAAGAAGAAGAATAGGAAGCAGAGCAGGAAGAAGAGGAGGAAGAGGATCAGAGAACCCGCTCTGGAAGAGGAAGCAGAGCAGCAGGAAGAAGAGGAGGAAGAGAAGCAGAGAACCCGCTCTGGAAGAGGAAGCAGAGCAGCAGGAAGAAGAGGAGGAAGAGAAGCAGAGAACCCGCTCTGGAAGAGGAAGCAGAGCAGCAGGAAGAAGAGGAGGAAGAGAAGCAGAGAGCCCGCTCTGGAAGAGGAAGCAGAGCAGGAAGAAGAGGAGGAAGAGAAGCAGAGAACCCGCTCTGGAAGAGGAAGCCGAGCAGCAGGAAGAAGAGGAGGAAGAGAAGCAGAGAACCCGCTCTGGAAGAGGAAGCACAGCAGCAGGAAGAAGAGGAGGAAGAGAAGCAGAGAACCCGCTCTGGAAGAGGAAGCAGAGCAGCAAAAAGAAGAAGAGGAGGATGAGGCAGCCCGGGGCTCCCTCCTTTACCTGGGCGCTGCCCCCCGGGCCGGGGTCGGTGTCAGCTCGGGGGTAGGTGTGGAAGGGGCGTCCTGGCGCCGTCTTCAGCCCCTCGCGGGGGGCGCCGGGGCCGTCGGGGGGCCGCAGGTCGGGCCCCGAGAGCGGGCGCTGCTCGCGGGCCGGGGGCCGCGGGGGCCCCTCCCCGGCCGAGCTGGACTTGGGGCGGCCCCCGGGGGCGGGGTGGGGGCGGGCCGGGGCGTCCGGCCGGGGCTGGGCGGGGCCCGGGCGGGGCTGGGGGGGCGGGCCCGGGGCCAGGCCGTTCTCCGGGGAGGGGCAGGGGGGGCTGTCCCGGCGCAGGGAGTTGGAGCGGGACACGGACACGGCCGCCAGCTCGTCCAGGAGCCACGCCAGGGTCCGGTCACGGCCGCCGGGGGTCCCATCCTGGGGCCCTTTGGAGCCGCGCACAATGGGCTGCGGGAAGGGGGGGACACACGGGGGGAAAAAGGGAAAAAAGGAAAAAAAAAACAACAGAAAAGTGACGTGGAATGGCTGCAGGATGGGCACAGCATGGGGGGTTTGGCTGGGGAGAGGCCCAGAGGCACAAACTGGGGGCTAACCTCGATGGGAGGGTCCCAAAATATCGGGGAGGGTTTGATGGGGTGGGAATGGGGGCAACATCAGGGCTGAGGGGGGAATGGGGGATGTGGGAATATGGGAATGAATGGGGTGGGATGTGGGAATATGGGGGCATGTGGGAATGAATGGGGGGGATGTGGGAATGAATGGGGGATGTGGGAATGAATGGGGAGATGTGGGAATGAATGGGGGGGATGTGGGAATGAATGGGGGGGGCATGTGGGAATGAATGGGGGGCGATATGGGAATGAATCGGGGGGATGTGGGAATGAATGGGAGGGGATGTGGGAATGAATGGGGGATGTGGGAAGGAATGGAAAGGGGATGTGGGAATGAATGGGGGGCGATGTGGGAATGAATGGGGGAGATGTGGGAATGAATGGGGGGCGATGTGGGAATGAATGGGGGGCGATGTGGGAATGAATGGGGGCGATGTGGGAATGAATGGGGGGGATGTGGGAAGGAATGGGGGGGATGTGGGAAGGAATGGGGGCGATGTGGGAATGAATGGGGGGCGATGTGGGAATGAATGGGGGACACACAACGGGGAAGGGATCGGGTGGGAGCGACCCCGTGGGGTGGGGCTGGTTCAGGGAGTGGGGCAGGGCCTCACTGGGGGATCCCTGTCCTGGGGGACCCCATCATCACCTCCCTGCCCCAAGACCCCCAAATTCCTCCCCATTTGACCCCAAAGAGCATCCAGGACACCCTTATAATACTCCAAGACCCCAAAATCTCCCAAACCCACCCCAGGGACTGAATGAGGCCCCACCTCCCACCATGATCCCCAAATTCCCTGGTCCATAACTCCCCCATTTGTCTTTTTGGGGAGGTAGGAAAGGCATGGGGACCCAGCTCCCACCTCCCTGACCCCCAAATCCCTCCCAGTTTGGCTTTTTGGGTGGCTGGCACCCCCTGACCTGCCCCACAACCCCCCAGTATCAAACAACCCCAAAATCCCCTCATTCCAAGATGCCCAAACCGCCCCAATTCAACCCCAAAGAGCACCTAGACCCCTGTTACCTCTTCCAGGACCCCCAAACTGCCCCAAGTTCAACCCCAAAGAGCACCCAGACCCCCAAACTGCCCCAAATTCAACCCCAAAGAGCACCTAGACCCCCATTACCTCCTCCAGGACCCCCAAACTGCCCCCAATTCAACCCCAAAGAGCACCCAGACACCCAAACCGTCCCAAATTCTACCCCAAAGAGCACCCAGCACCCTGTTACCTCCTCCAGAACCCCCAAACTGCCCCAAATTCAACCCCAAAGAGCACCTAGACCCCTGTTACCTCCTCCAGGACCCCCAAACTGCCCCAAATTCAACCCCAAACATTGCCCAGCACCCCGTTACCTCCTCCAGGACCCCCAAACTGCCCCAAATTCAACCCCAAACATTGCCCAGCACCCTGTTACCTCCTCCAGACCCCCAAACTGCCCCCAATTCAACCCCAAACATTGCCCAGCACCCCGTTACCTCCTCCAGGACCCCAAACTGCCCCAAATTCAACCCCAAAGAGCACCCAGACCCCCAAATTGCCCCAAATTCAACCCCAAACGTTACCCAGCACCCCGTTACCTCCTCCAGGACCCCCAAACTGCCCCCAATTCAACCCCAAACATTGCCCAGCACCCCGTTACCTCCTCCAGGACCCCAAACCCCGAGTGCTGAGCCCGAATTTGGGCCCTGGCCAGCCCAGGCCGCGCCGGGTTCGCGCGGTTTCCGCACCTTGTGGGCCCCGCGGATGGCGGTGATGCAGGCGGGGTCCACGAGGGGCTTGGGGCGCCGGGCGGACTCCTCGAGCAGCCCCTGCCACTGGCGGGGCAGCCCCGTGAAGCGCTGCTCCGAGGGGTCGTAGCCCGTGTGCACCCGGTGCTCGAAGTTGGACGGCGCCGAGATCTCCACGCGCTTCTTCTTCTTGGAGAACATGGCCCGGGCTGTGCTCCTGCGAACGGGGCAAAAAACCCGGATTTGGGGGGTGGGAAATGAGGGCTGGCAGCAGGAACGGGGTCAGACCCTGAAATCCAGCCCTGGGGACGGGATCAGCCCTGAAAATCCCGCTGCTGGAATGGCTTTCATCCATCCACCAGCCACTTCCATCCAAAACCCTCCGCCTTCATCCAATTACTTCCCATTTCTCCCCCAAATCCAGGCTTGAAAACACCAGAAATTCCCACTTGGAAATGGGATTAATCTATTAACCCACCAACCCAACCTGAACCAACAAACAGATCTAAAGCACCTCAAAAAGCCACCAAAAAATCTGTTTTTCCTGGGATCCAGTGCCAGGATCAGCGTTCTGGGGCACCACCCAAGGGTTTGATTTCATTCCCTGTCTCCCATGGTTTTTCCTGCACTTTCCAGGCCAAGAACGAGCTCAGCTGGGAGGGTTTTGGGCCTGTGATCCCAGTGGGGGCACGAATCCCACAGGGAATAGCCCCAAAATCCCACGGATCCTGGGCGGGTGCCTTTTTCCCACTTTCACTGCTTTTCCTGGTGGCAATTTCCCCGTTTCCTCTCATTTTTTCCTATCTCCTTGGCTCAATCCCATTTTCCAGGCTCCAGAATCCCGCTGCTTCCAAGGTTTTCTCACTGCTTTTCCCCAATCTCTGAGGATTTCTCCTTAAAACAATGATCCATCGTGAAGTTTTTCTTCTCCTCCTCCTCCTCCACTTCGACCCCAGCCAAAAGCTGTCAGAATTCCGTGTTTTCTCCATTTTCCCTGCTCATCCCGGGCTGATCCCTCCTTCCACCTTCCTGGGAATCCTCTGGGGATTGCCAAAATCCCATTTTCTGATGGAAAACCCTCCTGGTTTGGGGAAATTGCAGCTGCGTTTGGGGTGGGAGGATTAAAATCTGCTGCATTTGGGCTTTTCTGCATGGGAAATATCCGAGGATGACCCAGCTCAGCCGGGATGAGGTGCAGCATCCGTAACCTCTGGACACCAAATCCACGGGATTTCACCCCAAAACCTCTCTCTTTTCCAGATGGTTGTGGGAATCTGGTGGTACTTGGCAGGGGCAGAGAGGTCCTGAGGAATTCCAGAGGGTGGGATGGGGGCCAGGAGGGGGTGAAGTTGTTCCTCAGCCCTTCCCAGGCCGCATTCCTGGGATCCCAGCGGGGTTTAATTAGTCACCAATTAACGAGGAACTCAATCTCTGCACCGGGCACGATAATCTCCTGTTTTCCCTAAAATTCCCAACAAAATCCCACAAATTCCCCCCAAAATCAGCGGCACTCAGGCTGTGCCCTGGTGGGAATTGTGCTCCCCAAAATAGGGGCCACAATTCCCGGGAAAGCCAGGCTGGGAAGGGGCTGGAATCCCGGGATTCCCAACCGAGGGGTCAGAATTCCTGGGAAAGCCAGGCCAGGAATTCTGGGATTCCCCACCAAGGGATCCCCACCGAGGGGTCAGAATTCCAGGAAAAGCCAGGCTGGGGCCGGAGCGGGTTGGACTGGCCGAGCTGGATCTGCAGCAGGAGGAGGAGGAGGAGGAGAAGGAGGAGGAGGAGGAGGAGGAGAAGTGCCGGCCTTTGCTCCGGAGGAATCCCGGAATTCCAGGAATCCGGAGCCTCCGAAGCTCAGGGGAACAGGAAAAAAAAAAAAAGATCCGGGAAGGGAACCAGGAGATCCCAGGAAAAGGGGAATGAAGTGCTCAGAGCTTCCGGGAAAACTGGGATGGGAAAACCGGGAAGGGAAAACCGGGAAGGGAGAGAGCAGGGAAACGAGGGAGGAGAACCAGGAAAGGGAAAAAGCGTGGAAGGAAGAGGAGAAAGAGGAATTCTGTCGGAATTCTGCCCTTTTCCTGCAGCAGGAAGTTTCCCAGGAGCTGGAAGTGCAGGGAGAGGGAGGGAGGAAGGGAGGGAGGTCGGGAATCTCCGGCTCGGGGCAAGGGAAGGGCCAATTAACGAGGGTCCAATTAATCAGTAACGATCCCATCCATCCGTGACGACCCAGGTGCCCAAAAATCCAGGAAAACGCAAATCCCTCCCCAAAATCCAGGAAAACGCAAATCCCTCCCCAAAATCCAGGAAAACGCAAATTCCTCCCGGGGCCGGCTCGGGAGCACCTCCAGAAAACCCAAATATTCCTGCCCGGGCCTTTATCCCATGGGAAAGGAACAAATTAAAGGATTAATCAAAGCCAGGGGCAGGAATATCCTTGGAATTTCTTCCTGGAAACTCCTGCTCGTCCCACAGCTGTTAACGAGGTGTTGGTGACCAAATTCCCAGCTTTTACCCCCAAAACCCAACAGGGAATGGGAGCAGGGGGAAGTTTTTGGCCATTTCCAAAGGATTCCTGGATCTTTTCCACATCTGGTTATTTCCCATAAACCCAAATTCCAATTATTTCCAAAACAACCCCAGGTCAACCCCTCTATCTCACCATTACTTATTTGAAAATTCACTAAATTCCAGAGAAAACACAAATAAATTCCAAATCCAGAGGCTTTTCTGATTTTTTTTCTCTTTTTCCTCCTTTTCCATTGAGGAATGGCGACAGGAGCACCACAGAAAACCAGTGGGGATGGCAATTTCCCTTCCTGATGTGCCAAAATTTGGGGGAAATGCTGTTTTTAAGGAGTCAGGACATTCCTGAGGAATCCCAGCACCCCTGTACCTTGGGGCTCCTGACCCAAATCCACGGGAAAAACCCATCCCAGGGCTCTGGATGGGATTGTGGGGAGGAGACCCCCAAATCCCCGCGGGACCAGAAATTCCAGGAATTAACTCGGAATTAACTCGGAATTAACTCGGAATTCGCTTCCTACCTTCCGCCAAGGGAAAACTTTCCTGCCTCAGCTGCGCGTTCCGGCTCCTCCGCTCAAAGTGCTGCAGAGGGAGAAGGGAATTCCCTCAGGAGAAGCCCCGAGCCCCCATTTTGGGGAGTTTTTGGGGTTTTTTTTAGGGCGGGGAGCGTTGGGGTCCATATCCCCAATCCCAGAGCTTCCCCAGGCTGCTGCTGCCGCCCCTCCGGCGATTTGGGGAGCCTCAAACCGGTCCCATGACCGCCCCCTCCATCACCGAACAACCCCTTAGCTTTGCGGGGGTCTCCAAATCCTCCCGAAATCCCCAAATCCGCCCCAAATCCCCCCCGGGCCCCCTCAGGCCTCACTCGGCCGCCGCCGCCGCCATGTTGGGATCCAACCACATCCGGGTCCTCCCACGCCCGCGTCGCCGCGGCGACAGACCACGCCTCCAGGGGCGGGGACACAGGCAGGAGAGGCGGGGCGAGCTATATATGGGCAAAGCGAGGGCGATGGGGAGCCAAATATGGGCAGGAGGCGTGGCCCAGGGCGGAGCGTAGCCGAATAAGGGCGGGGATATAATGTTGGGGCGGGGTTTATAGAGGGAGGGGCGTGGCCTAACGCGGAAGTTGCTGCTGGAGGGGCGGATCTCCAGCAATCAATTGCAGTCTGACCAGTCACCGCGCGAATCACGGAGATTGGCATTTCCGCTATCCAATCGCAGCGCGGTGCGCCCGGAGCTGGGTAAGATGGCGGCGCGGTGAGGGGAACGTGCAGGCTCCGGTGCTGCCGCTCTCCGATGTTTTTTAGGACATTCCTGAGGAATTCTGCTGCCCTCCCCGGGCCGTTCTGATCGCGCCTACTCCTCTCAGAGCCTCGGAGATGTCGCTGCGTGCCGTGCTCAGGGCCGCCGCCTCGCTGCCGCGCTGCAGTGCGTAAAATTCCCCTTCCTCCCCAAAACGCCCCAAACCCCAAACTGGAGGCGCTGGGAAGTGTCCTGGGGGTACTGGGAAGGGTCCTGGGTGTACCGGAGGCACTGGGCAGGGACCTAAAGCCTCTCCCAACCCCCCAGAACCCCCTGACCTCTCTCCATGTCCCCTCCACAGCCCCGTCCCTGCTCATGCCGCCGCCTCCTCCCTGTGCCCCGTGCTGCCCCATGGCCACCCTGAACCAGATGCACCGGCAGGGCCGCCCCGCGCCGCCTCCCCGCCAGCCGGGCGCCACGCTGGGCCGGCCGCAGCTCAAGGCCGTGGTGCTCAAGAACCTGATCCGCAAGCCCAAGAAGCCCAACTCGGCCAACCGGCGCTGCGTGCGCGTGCGGCTGAGCTCGGGCCGCGAGGCTGTGGCCTTCGTGCCCGGCGAGGGCCACAACCTGCAGGAGCACCATGTGGTGCTGGTGCAGGGCGGGCGCACGCAGGACCTGCCCGGCGTCAAGCTGACCGTGGTGCGCGGCAAGCACGACTGCGCGCACGTACAGCCCAAGAAATGAGGGGGAGACCCCTGACTGTGCCCACGTGCAGGCCAGGAAATGAGGGGGGGGATCCCCATGATGCTGGGGGGGCTGGGAGGGGTGACCCCGGGCCGGGGATGGACCTGGCTTGGGTGGGTAAAATTCAGAAAATTCAGATTAAAGCGTTCTGGTGGTGATGTGGAGTGGAGTGTGTGGGGAGGGGTGGGAGGGGTACTGGGGAGGGTGGTGGAGACACTGGGGGTACTGGGGACACTGTGGGGGGGTCACTGGGATGACCCTGGGGTCACGGGGGGGGGTCACTGGGGTCACCAAACCGAGGCCGGGGGCGTGGCCGGGACGAGAGGGGGCGAGGCCAAATCCGCCCGGGTGGGGGTGTGCGCCGCTGGTCCCGCCCCTGGCTCCTCCCCAGCCCCGCCCCCGGCTCCTCCCCCACATGACCCCCACACGCCGGTGGCCAAGATGGCGGCGCGCTGGGCGCTGCTGCGGGCGGCGGGGCGGGCGGCGGGAGGGCTGCGCGGGGCCGCGGGGGCAGCTCCCGGCGCCTCTCCCGGTGCCGGGGCCTCTCCCGGTACCGCTCCCGGTCCGGGCCCCGTTCCCGGGGCCTCTCCCGGTGCCGGGGCCTCTCCCGGTACCGCTCCCGGCCCGGGCCCCGCTCCCGGGGCCTCTCCCGGTGCCGGGGCCTCTCCCGGGTCCGCGGCCGGGAGGAGCCGGCTGTATGAGCACGTACGCGAGGGGCTGAGCGCGCGGCCGCAGCTGGACGTGACCGCGCTCAGCGAGCGGGACGTGGAGCGGCGCCGCGGGCCGCTAGGGGGCGCCGCACTCCGCGAGATCGTGAGTGGCGGGAACCGCGGGGGCGGGGCTTGGCCCGGACTGGGCGGGGCCTGTGCGCGCACACCCCCTCCCCTTCCCGGTTTGTGTGTGGCCAGCGCGCCCACCTGAGCCACGCCCCCCCGGCCACACCCTCAGGTGCGGACGTGGTCGCGGCTGGGGAAGGTGCGCGATGGCATCGCCCGGCTGGAGGCGGAGAAAGGGCGCGTGGCCCAGGGGGTCCGCGAGATCATGGTGAGACCCCCCCCTGCGACCCCCCAGCTCCCCCTTGGAACCTCCCAGGACCCCCCTCCCTTTCTGAACCACTCCTCGACCCCCAAGGACCCCCTGACTCCTTTCCCCCCAGGCCTCCCGGGACAAGGCAGCGGCCAACACGGTAGGCATGGAATGGAATGGAACTTTGGGGGGTGCCCCGGGGGTCTCGTTGACCCCCAGGCCCTGACAGTGCCCCCCCTGTCAGCACCCGGAGCTGGCGTCGCTGCGGGAGCAGGGCCGGAGCCTCCGGGAGCAGCTCCGGGTGCTTGAGGCCGAGGAATCTGAGCTGGAGCAGAGATTCTACCTGGGGGCCCTGCAGCTGCCCAACAGGACCCACCCCGCTGTGGTGAGACCCCCCAAAATCAGCCAAAATCACCCAGAACCCAACAGGACCCATCCTGCTGTGCTGAGACCCCAAAGACCTCCCCAAAATCACCCCAAACCCAACAGGACCCACCCCGCTGTCGTGAGACCCCAAAAATCCCCCCAAAATCACCCAGAACACGACAGGACCCACCCCGCTGTAGTGAGACCCCCAAAATCACCCAGAACCCACCCAGCCCAACAGAGACCCCCAAAAACCTCCCCAAAATCACCCAGAACCCAACAGGACCCACCCCGCTGTGGTGAGGCCCCTAAAACCTCCCCAAAATCTCCCAAAACCCACCCAACCCAACAGAACCCACCCCACTGGGGTGATACCCCTCAAAAATCTCCTGAAATCCCCCTGCCCCTCTCTGTGGTGATTTGGGGGTCTCCTGGCACCCCCAAACCCCCCCTTTGTGCTCCCCCAGCCCGTTGGGGACCAGAGCCAGGCCCAGGTGCTCGAGGTGGTTGGGAAGAAACCAGGTGAGGGCTGGGGGGGGTCCTGGGGGGTCCTGGGGGGCGTTGGGAGGGTCTAGGGGGTGTTTTGGGGGGATCTGGGGGGTGTTTGGAAGGTCTGGGGGGCGTTGGGAGGTTTTGGGGGGCATTGGGAGGGGCTGGGGGGGGGGGGGGGTTGGGGGGTCTGGGGTCACCGAGGTGACAAAGGTGACAAAAGGTTCCCCCTCCTCTCCCCCAGTGTTCGATTTCAAGCCAAAGGGGCACCTGGAGCTGGGGGAGGGGCTGGACATCATCCGGCAGAGGTGAGCACACCTGGAGGGGGGGGACACACACCTGTCCCACACCTGTCCCCCCTCCGCAGGCGCCTGTCACACGTCTCAGGCCTTTGCTCCTATTACCTGTGCGGGGCTGGGGTTGTCCCCAGGTGTCCCACACCTGTCCCCCCCTCAGGCGCCTGTCCCACGTGTCAGGCCTTCGCTCCTATTACCTGTGCAGGGCTGGGGTCGTCCCCAGGTGTCCCACACCTGTTCTCCCCCCCCCAGGCGCCTGTCCCACGTCTCAGGCCACCGCTCCTATTACCTGTGTGGGGCTGGGGTTGTCCCCAGGTGTCCCACACCTGTCCCCCCCTCAGGCACCTGTCCCATGTGTTCAGGCCTTCGCTCCTATTACCTGTGCGGGGCTGGGGTTGTCCCCAGGTGTCCCACACCTGTTCTCCCCCCCCCAGGCGCCTGTCCCACGTCTCAGGCCTTCGCTCCTATTACCTGTGCGGGGCTGGGGTTGTCCCCAGGTGTCCCACACCTGTTCTCCCCCCCCAGGCGCCTGTCCCACGTGTCAGGCCTTTGCTCCTATTACCTGTGTGGGGCTGGGGTCATCCCCAGGTGTCTCACACCTGTTCTCCCCCCCCCAGGCGCCTGTCCCACGTCTCAGGCCACCGCTCCTATTACCTGTGTGGGGCCGGGGCCCTGCTCCAGCACGCCCTCGTCACCTTCACCCTGCAGAAACTGCTCAGCAAGGTGGGGGGGGCCTGGGGGGAGCCAGGGAGGGTCTGGGGGGGTCCCATGGAGGGGATCCCAGGGAGGCTCTGGGGGGGGGGGGGGTCCCAATGAGGGTCTGGGGTCCCCGGGGATGCTCGGAGTCTCCCGATCTCCCTTTCCCCAGGGTTTCCTGCCCATGACGGTGCCGGACCTGCTGCGAGGAGCCGTTTTTGTGAGTGCCCCCCGAGCCCCCCCCCCGGCACCCCGGGTGACCCCCCCTGAGCCCCCCCGGCACCCCAGTGCCCCCCGGTGACCCCCCCGTGCCCCCCAGGAGGGCTGCGGGGTCCAGCCCAGCGCCGCCCCCTCCCAGGTTTACAGCATTGACCCCGCGAGGTTTGAGGACCTGTGCCTGGCCGGGAGCTCGGAGGTGGGGATTGCAGGTGGGAAATGGGGAAAAAGGGGGGAAATCGGGAAAACACGGAGGGCAGGGGGAGAATGGGGGAGAGCCGGGAGAAAATGGGGAAAATTGGGGGAAAATACAGGTGAAAATGGGGAAAACTGGGGAGAATGCGAGGAAAATATGGGAAAATGTGGGTGAAAATAGGGAAAACTGGGGGAGAATGCAAGGAAATTCGTAAAAAATAGGAGGGAAAAGTGGAGGCGGGGGCAGATGGATTTGGGGGGCTCACCCAGGGGGCAGATGGATTTGGGGTGACCCCCCTGTGTCCCCCCACCCAGGGTATTTCATGGACCACGCTGTGCAGCTGCAGGACCTGCCTGTCAGGTACCGGGGGGTTGTGTCCTGCCCAGGGACCCCCTCCCCTTGTGGGGATCCCCCCTCCCCAATTCCCTGCGGGGTTTTTTGGGGCCCCCTGAGCCGTGTCCCCCCCCAGGGTCGTGTGCTCCAGCACCTGCTACCGCGCCGAGACCGACACGGGCCGCGAGCCCTGGGGGCTCTACCGCGTGCACCAGTTCACCAAGGTACTGGGAGCACTGGGAGGGAGCCCCGGGGGGGGGAGAGCGGGGGGTCACCCCCTGTGCCCCCCCCAAAGGTGGAGATGTTCGGGGTGACGGCGGCCGAGCGCGGCTCCGAGAGCGAGGAGCTGCTGGACGAGTTCCTGGGGCTCCAGAAGGAGATTTTCTCAGAGCTGGGGCTCCATTACCGGTGAGGGGGATTTGGGGGGGGTCCCCCCAATCTGTGGGACCCCCGAAATCGCTCCTGACTGTCCCCCCCCGGAACCTGCAGCGTCCTGGACATGCCCACAGAGGAGTTGGGGCTCCCCGCCTACCGCAAGTTTGACATCGAGGCCTGGATGCCCGGACGGGGCAAATTTGGGGAGGTGAGGGAAGGAGGGGTCTATGACCCCAATAATAATTTAGGGAGAGCCCAAATAACTTGGGGAGAACCCCAATAATTTGGGGAGAATCCAAACAATTCTGGGAAAACCCCAAAAATCCTGAGGTGCTCAGGGTGATGCCCCCCCTCACTGTTTATGGGCCCCCCTTTATTCCAACCCTTGCTGCCGGGTCAGGACCCCCATTCTGGGGGAGTGGAGGAGGAGGGGGGGGTGCCCCAAACCTGCTGACCCCCCCCGTCCCCTTCACCCCCCCTCCCAGATTTCCAGCGCTTCCAACTGCACGGATTACCAGAGCCGGCGGCTGAACATCATGTACAGCGGGGAGGGGGGCCGGCTGCGCCACGCCCACACGGTGGGTGACCCCCAAAACCCTGGGAGAACCCCAGAAACCCCCGGGGCGGGGCCTCTGGGCCCCCCTGACGCCGTGTCCCCCCCTCAGGTGAATGGCACCGCCTGCGCCGTGCCCCGGACGCTGATCGCGCTCCTCGAGTGCAACCAGCTCCCGGTGAGTGATTGGGGGGGTCCCGCGGGGGTCTGGGGGCTCCAGGGGGCTCACCCTGCCCCGTGTGCCCCCCCAGGACGGCCGTGTCCGGGTGCCCCCCGTGCTGCAGCCGCTGGTGGGGCGGGAGGTGCTGGCCCGGCCCCCCGCCCCCCTCCTGAGCTACATCGGCCCCAACCAGCCCGGGGGGGGCCCCCCCAAAATGGGGAAGGGGCCCTGAGGGGAGGGGGCAGGGCACGGATGGAGCTGGGACATCGTGGGACACAGGAGGACACGGGAGGACCCAGAGGACACGGGGGACACAGAACGTGTGACAGCCCCACCCACGGTGACAAACCCCGGGAATAAAACCTGGAAATGCCCCCCCCCGTGTCACAGGTGTGTGCTCTGCTGCAGGGGTGCTCTGGGACAGGCAGGTCACCCCCAGTGTCACAGGTGTG